TGTTTGCCATCGGGGTTGGGTTTTCGTGGCTTGGCAACGACGTTGTAAAACAAGCCATTTCACTTCGTGAACTCGGCAACCAGGTTACCGTTTTTTTTTTACCTCTGTTTTTTTTTTTGGCGGTAACCATAATGGTAGTCGAGTAGATCATGTTGTGCGGGGTGAACCCTCACCCGGCGCAAGGGGGATGATCGCACCACGTTGTGTTGAAATGATCAAGCACCCTCGAGGCAGTTACACAGTGCTTACAACTGTCTCAGGAAGTGAAAGCACCAGAAAATAAATTTAGTCATACGCAGCTGTCATCCGTACGCAAGGAAGTAAGCACAAGATGCCGAAAACCCCTAACAGGATGCAGCGCACCCTTCATGCGACTCGCCGAATATCTCACGGCGCTTCNCCCCCCCCCCCCCCCCCCCCCTCTCACGTAACGCGCGGCGCTCGGCTGACTCTCTCTCTCGCTCTCCATCATTGGGCGTGCGTTGCAGGACGTCCGCACGAAGAGCACCCTCCCCGAGGAAGCCCAGCGCGACCTCGTGGTGGCCTCCATCTGCGCCAAGTACACGCAGTCCAACTCCGTGGGGTACGCGAAGCGCGGGCAGATGGTGGGCGTCGGGGCAGGGCAGCAGAGCCGCGTCGACTGCGTGAAGCTCGCCGCCAGAAAGGTACGTAGGCGCATGTATGCGTGTGCCGATGTGTGCGTGCGCTAAGTTGTCTTGTGCAGTTTTTTGCGGAAGTGATTTGGGTGGGGTGGTGACCTCGTGGCTGCTGTTGCTAGTCATTTTGCTGTGTGTTGTTGCTGGCACTGAAAAGATGTTTCGTGCCGGGGCTCAGCAGTGCATCGCTCGTCAGTGGTTCAGTTGCATGCTGCCCCCTCCCCGGACAAACAACTGCCTGGTGCAGGTGTCCGTGTGGTGGTTGAGGCACCACCCCAAGGTACAGGGGTTGCAGTTCAAGGACGGAACCAAGAGGCAGGACCGTGTCAACGCGCGCGTCAGGTGCGTGGGCGACGGCGTTTTTTCTCATTTACCCACGGAAATGTATGGCCAAGTCTGGATGAAGGGATGGAGAGGGGGGAGGGAGGGCGGGCGTGGTGTTGATGCATTTTGTGGTTCAGACCCTTGTTCGACCGAGCACTCACTTCCAGCTGAATGGGGGGGTAGTCTTTATTGCCTTGGGATTGCTTTCGTTTTCTTGACTGCATCGGGAAAATACAGATTGCCTTCCAACCCCAGTAACACGCGACCCACGATCGTGCGAAAACAGGTACATCGAGGGTGACATCACCGCGTCGGAGCGGCCGGCGTGGGAGTCCAACTTCGAGGCCAAGCCGGAGGCCCTGACTGCCGAGGAGAAGGACGCGTTCCTCGCAGAGCTTTCGGGCGTCAGCCTGTCATCGGACGCTTTCTTCCCCTTCCGCGACTCCATCGACCACGCCTCCAAGGTATCGCGGAGGAAGCAGGCCTTAGTTTTTGTTTTGTTAAGTTACATATGTAATAGGTCAGTACGGTTGTCGTTGTTTTGTTTCTGGTGTCTAGTGGTGTTAGGTTCAAATCTCTCTAGGCTGTCAAGCTTGGGTTTGCCAGTCTGCTTGTTGGCGGTTTTTCGGCGTAAAGAATTTAAGGGAGGTCGGTATTGCTGTGGGTACCGGTGTTTCCGTGTGACAGGTTTTCTCACTCTTTCCACACCACTCGTTTTGGCTTAAGCTGCGCGCACGCAGACATTCGCGCACACACAACTACACGATTGACCCCCCGCCGTGGCTGCCCACCGCCTCCCGAACCTACCTCGTTGGACGTAACTACAGGTGGGGGTGTCCTACGTGGCCCAGGCAGGCGGGTCGGTGGCCGACGAGCAAGTGATCGCGGCTTGCGACGAGTACGGCATGTCCATGGCCTTCACGGGCATCAGGCTCTTCCACCACTAGGGGAACGTAGCGTAGTCTAGGCTAGGTGTAGCAAAATATGTCTTGCTCCAGCGCTTCGTTTCTTTTTTCCACGTATTGGAGTCCATAGCCTTGACGAGCATCAGGCTATTCCACCCCGTAACGGTATGCGTACCCAGGTGAAACTGTTGCTCTCCCTACTGTTGTTCGGGTTATGTTGCTTCAAGAACGGCTAGTCCACGGAGTTTTCCGCCTCTATCCGCGAGGTGCATCTTCAATCAATTGTGGCGCCATCGAACGCGTTCGGGTTGTTGACGGTCTTCCGGCGAATTTGATCGCCAGCGTGACTAAGTCCCCGGAGGCAACAGTGACGCTCTTACTTGCGAATGTAGCTGACACATTCTGACAGAAATGTTGTTGGATTTTCGGCCCACACCCAACGCCTATAATTGATGAAAATGGGGTCTTATCGAGTACATGTGCGCACGTAGTACACGTTTCGCACACGCTATGCTTGGGTTGCAACATATACCAGAACATGAGCATGTCAAGCAGATTCATTCATGGCAGTCCGAGCTTGTGAAAGTGCTGCCGAGTGTTCGCCAGGAGAAGACGATTCGATTTGGGTGCTGTGGCCCGGAGTACTGAAAGTCTGTCCCGCATGATGCCCATCAGATGTGTTATCACGTCAAGGTGGGGTCCACCGCTCTCGTTTCCAAAAACATCATTTTCCTGGTCGAGTAACCACGACCTCTCCGACTTTCTGAACTGTCAATCAAGGCGAGAACCCCGGGAGCACGTACGTCTCACACAATTAAGAGAAACCACACAAGCTTACAGCAAAAGCCTGCGTTGCACCGTCAACCCAAGCCCACGAAAAGCGTGGGGGCGTGCAAGTAGTGGGAAATTCAGAGGCAGAAGGCGGTGTAGCTGTCCTTTCCCTAAGGTCCGATCGAGGACATGAGGTAGCTGCCGTACAAATTCCAACGCACACAAGTGCACAACTTCCCACCAAATCGGAACAGAAAATTAGTGGTGTTCGCGTAACCAAACCAAGCACTCCTTGTTGTTGCTGCTGCTGGATCTCCCGGAAATGCTCCTTTCGTCTGTCGACGGGGTCCGACCAGGCTTGTCGCCATGTCACATGAAGACCAGTCAAGTCGCTCCGGATCCAGGCTGCTGCATGACGGAGCGTAGGTACTGCATTAGAGAGCACACACGAGACGGCGGGATGAACAAGGGGCGGTAGTAGGGCACCCTGGTCAGGGCGCTGGAAAAAAGGTAGCCCAAGCGAGCTTTGTTTGCGGCAAGCAATGCGCGGTGGTGCTCAATGGTCGACAAAAACGCCTGTTCTTCATACCAAAGTTTTTCGACACCCGACCGGAGTCTTTTCCACCCAAACGACCGGAACATATCGGCGAGGTGGAGGTCGTTCGCGTCTGGTATAGGCAGTTGTATGCAAAACATGTCTTCACCCTGATGACACCCGCTCTCAACAGCCGCCCGACTTTCGCTGGGGTCACGCGTGTGCACTCACTCTCACTCGACTCTCTACCGCTCCCCGAATTCGGCGTAGCTCCTCCTCGAGCTCTCGCGAACTCCAGTCTTCGATGCGCACGGCTCCGTTGACTTCATGTGTTCTGTCTTCGTGGTGTTGGCCATTGAGTACGCCGACACCGTCACCAGCAAAAGTGCGCGGCGCCCTTGGATGGTGGCTCTCCTGGACATCGGTTCTTCCCGTTGCTCGCCGATCGATGTCAGGGGAAAATAAGGGTCGTCTGTCATGCCCTTCCGCAGCCCCAGGGTCATCGTCTGGGCGAGAGTATCGTGGGCCCTCGTCCAACCACGACAAGAAAGGTTTCGGGACATCGTCACCAACACCGCCAGAAATGGAAGAGGTTGGTTTGCTGATGGCCGGCACCTCCGCGGAATCCGCCAGAAGGAAGTCATCACCGGCGCCGTCGCCATCGCCGAGACGATGCGCCGTGGAGCAATCGCTTCTCGCGGAATGCGCCAGAGCCGGGATGGTCTCCCCCTTCAGCGGCGACGCTTCAAAACTGCTGGCGGTCGACAAGGCGAGGCTCGACCAGAGGCGGTCACCGCCGCTTTGCTCTCTGCCGCAAGGCTGTGAGTCATGTCGAGTCGGGGACGAGGAGGTGGTCCAGGCGTCGACCAGAAGATCAGATTTTCGCCTTCTTTCGCTTTCGCGTCTGCTTCGTCGTCCTCCGAGAAAAACTTCTCCTTCTCGACTATCTTTCCCCCCACCTGGGAATTCTGGGACAATCGCACTCGCTGTATCCCACGAATGCCCCGGGAGCGCGTTCTTATTCCCCATGTCGTCGGCCGCCGGGGTGTCATTATCGCATTCGTCGCCTTCATATCCGGTTGCCACATCGTCACCGACAACTGCTTCACCATCGAAGTTGTCTTTGCCATGCTTGATGCTGCTGGTTCCTGCGACAGAAGCAATGATTTCACCGACAACGTGCGAAGGTCGGCGTGATTCTTGTTGCTTGTACGATGGCGTTTGGACGACACCACCCTCGGCGCCATAACGCGGTGCAACAGCCGTGACCTGTACCACAACTTCGGGAGAAGCAGGGGCATCGTCGTTCGGCATGAGTACATCGGAGTTCTCGATGGTGTTCGTTGCTGGTGTCGGAGAGGCGCAGCTGTCACTTTCGCCGTCGCTGTAGGTGAAGCAGTCCGTTTCAGCTGCGGGGGTAGACCTGGCCATCAGCGGTTGTTGGCTATCCACCTCTCCCTGCTTCAAGGTGCTCCCGGCCAGCAGTCCAACACTAGCGCCGCCGCTGCCTCCTCCTTGCGTTGTCGCCCCACTTTCCGAGGAAGGTGGTGGGGCAAGGCGGCACCCGAGAGCTTTCTCGTTATCATTGCTCGACGCCACCGACTGTTCCTGATGCCGAAGTTTATCACGTCCAGCCGATTTTTCAGCTACTGCACCATCACCTCCACCGATCAGATCGCGTTCTTCTGTAGATTTCTCTGCAATCTGGGGCAGGCCGAGGCCGCTACTGCCGTCATGCCCAGGCTGACTCGGTTCTCCGGCTGCTGTGGCGTTCGACTGCACGATCTCCTCTTCTTTCCCACTCTCTTGCTCCGTCGTCTCGATGGGGTCTCGTCGGCTGCCAGTGCAAGCAAGGATAGCAGCGGCAGCACCTGGACCAAGACGCGATTGCGTGGCTGGCGGAGAGGGTTGCATTTGATGCTCCTCGATGACTGGGGTAGGCATTGTAGCCGCATCAGCGACAGCAATAGCCGCAGAAGGAGCAGGAGTAGGAGTTGCAGCGGCATCAGCAGTGCAGTCACAACTAGCAGCAGCGCCATGAAAATCACAACCACAAACACCTGAGCATCGGGAGCTGTCGCTGTGGCCGTCGCTGAACCAACGCGGGAGCTTCACGGGTCCGCAAATACATGCCGTCGTCAAGCCACTAGGACCTTCGGCGGAGATTCTCTCACAAACATCACGGAAAGCGTCAAGCGCGGGTTGCACCACGCGATTTCTGGCTCTCTCGCCACGGTAGATAGCCTGAGCGGCCCGAAACAATGTCACGTGCCGTTTACGTCACGGGGAGAGCAGGAAGGCATGCGGGAGGGGAAGGTTGGCGGGGGGTTTCTGTAGGCGCTGGGCACTGCCTGTACGCGCTCCTTCGGTTTGGCGGGAGTGTGTAACGCTCGAGAGAAACACAGGTGCTTGCTGGACACTCTTTTGCAAGGTTCGGCGGTACATTCTTTCTAAAATTTAACCTATAAAAAAGTATAATCTACGATGCCGAAGGCAACACCTAGCTCCACAGAAGGGCGCTGATGTTTGGTATCGACACATGCGGATGCATACTGTAGTTCTACGGGTATTAAGGCTACGCAAGGCTCCTCACAAAAAAAAAACGTTGTCGAAAGGAAACGGCGTTTCGCAAACCAGAAAAAACAACTCGAATTTAGAGTCAGGGATCTGCACAAACGCACAAAAGCAGCGGGGGAGGGGGGGGGGGGG